ATCCCAAATTGCAGTTTGGGGGTCTGGAGATCTGCAAAGTGCCATGACTAAAGAATGAATTGGGACTAATGAGAGAAAAGGAGCCTCCACGCAGCTGGAGAAGGGGTGAGATAAGGACAAAGCAAGGAGGCAAAAACGTTCTCTTTGGATGAAAGGACGCATGAGGAAATTGGGGGAGCAGTGTTTGATTGCATCCACTGCGCAGAGAGAAAACAGCAAAACAGTTTATTTTGAATTCTTCTGCAGGCTTCAAACAAGGCGATATTTCCAGAGAAAACGGGAAACAACAAGTCTGAGGAAATCTGATCACAGCTGACAGCAGGGATGAGAGGTTTCAAGTCCTGTGTGCACTCAGGTTGACTGATTACTGATTTGGAAAGGGTGGTTTGATTTGTTATATTTAGAAGTCATTTGATAACCATGAGAATTTTAATAAGACACCTCATACATGTACAGTGTTACTGTGGCCCGACTGCTTTAAAGTTGTTTGGACATATTTGGAAGAACTAGCTGAGAAACTAAATGCTAATTTCCCAGTATGTGAGGTCCAGCCTTTGGAACAGTCACCCCAACTGTTGTGGTTTGAGTGTGAAATATGTCCTCATGGGCTTCTGTGTTGGCCCCAGGCTGGTCTTGCTGTTTGGAAATGTGTAACTTTTAGGAGGTAGACTGGAGGTAGAGGAAGTAGGTCACTGTAAGGAACCCTTGAGGATTGATAGCCCAACCCCACTTCCTGTCTGCTCTAGGCTTCCTGACAGTGGACACAATGTGACCAGCTCCCTCACTCTCCTGTCAGGACTATATTCTCTGAAAGTGTGAGTCAAGATAAATCTTTCCCCCTCTAAGTTGCTTCTTGTCAGGAATTTCATTGCAGAACAAGAAAAGTAAGTAAAACAAGAAAAGTAAGACACCAACTTTAGTGATACATCTTACAGAGTATGAGCTATGTCTCCATGAAGAGGTAAAGAGAACTCTGTAGCACTGGAGGTGTTTGTGCCCATCTGTCCCCTGACAATACATGAGAGATGATGAGATAGCCTCTCCTTTTACCATCTGAGTGAAGACAGTACAGAACTGTTTTCCAGAGATGACCCAGTGGCTATAGAAAGCTGCTTTGATTGCTCTTCAGTCTTTATACCACCCTTCATTTCTTTGCATTCTTTTCTCTCACAGGCCTCAGGCTCATCTGGTTCTTTGCTTGAGAGCTTCTGTCATATAGGTTAGCTTAACAGCATTTGCTCAGAGCCCTAGGGTTGAATCTAGGCTTTGATACTCCCTAGCTCTGTGGCTGCGTGTAAAGCATTTAATATGCCTTCATTTCCTGCTCTGAAAGGTGGGAAAGGAAGAACATCACCTTCAGAGGCTCATACCAGCTACTGTCCATCCAATCCTCCCTCACGTGTTATGGCAAGGGTAACTTTGAAAATCCCAATCTGTTATGTCCTCATCCTGTTTAAGAGGCTTCAAAATATCCTTGATTCATTAGATAAACTGTGTCTCCTTAATATGGCACAGAAGGTTCCTCCACCATCCACCATCTGTCTTTGCGGGTCCATCCCCCATGCTCCCCCTCCTTTTTCTATGGCCTGCTTACGCTTCCTGGTTATTGGCAGGAACTAGAATGAATTTGCTTAATTAATCATTTGTTCATATTAAGGTGTTTACTCTGCATTTAATAAGCTCTTATTTCTTTTAAATGAAGCTAATGTTACACACATACATACATACATACACACACACACACACACACAATACATGGTAGAGTTTTCAGGATATTGTGCCAATATTATTTTCTTGGTTTTAATAATACTAAGCAGTCCTATAAATTATTACCAATGGGCAAAAGTGGATCAATGGTATAAAAATCTCCTCTGTACTACTTTTGTGACTTCATATGAATTTGTAATTGCTTAAAATGTTTTAACATTAAATATAGTGTATTATTTGAGTTTTCTGCACAGGAGTCAGGTGAAGAAAAATGCGAAGCATAAAAAGACTAAACATTTAAATTATTCTATGATTGTGCCATATGCCGGACCTGCTTGATTCTGGGCTCTGAGGTCTAGTCTGGAATTGATCTTAGAGGGAAGAATAAAGCACTTTCTGGCAAAGAACAAATTCTAGGCTTCCAAATGGCATAGACCTGAGTTGAATTCAAACTCTGTTGTTTATAAACCAAGGAAACAGGCATATTAGCTAACACTGAACCATAGTTGCATCATAACTACAACAAATATGAAAATAACACCAAGTTCCTCATGTTTGGAGGATATTCACGCAAGATAATGCTTGAAAACAAGATAATGTATTTAAGCAAGGCAGACTGCAGAGTGCTCAACATAGAATAAACCACTTGACATCTTTCTTCCTTTCAAAACCAACATAGGTAGATCCTGTTCCCTCTGCTTTTGAAATGTATTCAGAATCTCACCCATCACCTTACAATCACCTTGGTTCAAGCCACCATTATCTCCACCGATAGCACTGCAATAGCTTCCTAGCCAGTTTCCTTATTTGGCCTTTCGTACTTGGCATCTACTCTGAAAGCATCAGCCATCATTATATTGTCAAAATGGAAACTGAGTCATGGTACTTCTCTGATCAATATCCTCCAGCAGGTTCTCCTCTCATTTGAATATAAAGCAAAGCTTTGAGATTCCCCCCAGCTGTTCTTGTCCTTTCCAACTTTCATTATCCATCCCCACAAACACCCTCCCAAATGCACACACACACACACACACACACACACACACACACACACGAGGGGTGACTTCCCTACTTTTTCCCTACTCCTCCCTTTACCTCATTTAGCCCAAGGCTTTCTCCTGGTACATAGCCTTAGCACTGGAACTTTCTGTGCATAGATTCTTCCTTCACAGGTTTCTACTTAGCCATTTTGCTCCAGATTTTATGTAAACACTTCAAGTTATGCTCAAGGAGGCCTCACTGACCTCTCACAGGAATATGCAACTTCCATTGCTTCTTGGTTGTTCTCTGTGCTAGTCAGTTTTTAACAAGACGAATGATATATTTTGTCTATTTACCCACAAAGAACTGAAAATTCCCTTATAACAAGTGACTCTGTTGGTGTTTTTACTATATCCAGTGCATACATAGTGCTGACACACAGCTGGCACTCAATAAAAATCTTCCAAATTGAGCTGGGCGTGGTGATGCACACCTTTAATCCCTGCACTCAGGAGGCAGAGGCAGGCAAATCTCTGTGAGTTCAAGGCCAGCCTGGTCTACATAGTGAGTTCCAGGCCAGCTGGGGCCTGACAGAGAGACCCTGTCTCAAAAAGACCAAAAAAAAAAAAAAAGAATCTTCCATATTGAAGGGATGAATTCCATTAGAGTGTTCAATCTGAGATCATGCACTAGAATTGACCATTCTGGAAAACAAGGGCAGATCTCAGTGATCAAAGTCAAATGCATGTATGTGGAAGGAAAGAGGGTGGAGTTGAAAACAGGACCAGTGATGGGATTAGGACCAGAACAACTACACAAGGCCCCTTGTTCAAAGGGCCTCACCTTGAATTTAGCACTATGATGACAACATTAAACATTTTGAAACAGGGGCCTTGAAATGTATTTTGCACTCCGGGCTGCAATTTAAGCCAGTTCTGGCTGAGAAGTAGGAAAATGTCAAAGGAACTTAAATGTATGTGAAGAAGGAATGACAGGGGTTAGAGAGATGGTTCAACAGTTAAGAGCACTGGCTAATCTTTCAGAAGACCCAGGTTCAATTCTTAGCACCTCCATGGCAGCTAACAACCACCCATAACTCCAGTTCCAGGTCCAACGCCCTCCTCTGGCCTCTGAAGGCATTGTATAACACAAGGTACACTTACATACATGAAGAAAAAACACTCATGAAATAAAAATAAATTTAAAGATAAAAAAAGGAATGACCAGCCACATGTGTGTATTGGAAAGCCTGTGATCCCAGCAATTTGGAAGGTGGACTAGGAAAGATAGAAATATTACGCTAGTGCCTACCTGCCTAGCAACTCATATGGCCTCTTCCAGGCTGAGCTCATACCCAGCCTTCTTGGTTTATGCTTGACCTTCTTTCCATGTACTCTCTTAACTCTGTTATGGTACTTAAAACATTATATTGTAGCTATTTGCAAACATATTTGCCTCCCCATTTTATAGCAGGAGTTTCCTAAGGTTATAATTATGTCTTATTCTGCTGAGAATGAGTATTTAGTACAGTGGTTTCCACAGAGCATGTAGTCAAGAAGCATGAGTGAATGAAAACGAGTGAATGTGCTTTAAGATAATTGTGCATAGGTGTATGTACATGAATGCTTGAGCACATATTTGTATTATATGTGATTTAATTAATATATATGTGCATTATCTATTTCAACAGAAAAAATATATCTATGCATATATGTACATATATATCTTGCTTTTAAACTGAAGCAATTGAGACTTAGGAAAGTTATTATCCTAGTGTTTCCAAATTGATTTGTTTTGTTTTGTTTTGTTTTGTTTTGCCATGGTCTCCCTACCCAGTCCACCTGGAAGTTACTATGTGGACAGGCTGGCCTAGATCTCACAGGGATCCACCTGCCTCTGCCTCCAGAGGGCTGGATTAAAGATGCACACCACCACACCCAGTGTGTTCCCAAATCGAGATTGGAATCCTGACTCTAGGACACTTTCTCCAATATGGGACTTCTAAATCTGCCTCCAATCTTATCTCTCCACTCATATCACAAAAAGATTCATTGGAAATGTGCCACTATTTTCTAAGTATTACCAACTTACTGATGTAGACATTTAAACTATCCTTTTTTATATAACATGAAGACCTGTGTATTTTAATCACTTAAAGTATAGACACAAATCAGTGAAATTTTAAACTGTAGCTCTACTCTCTCCATCAAAGTGACAGGCATCTCTGAGTTGTACATTGGTCCAGGACCACATGATTGCCATTACTCATTAAGAAATGCTATATCACTATGGAATGCAAGAGTCAAGATCACCATTTTCATTGCAGTAGTATGAGTCCAGGCTCCTGATGCCCTCCAACCAGATGTCCTCACTTGAGGGCAATTCACTGTCTCCAAACATGCTTCCATGCAGCCAGGATTTAGAAGCTCTGAGGTCCAAAAGAGACGAAACAGAGCGGTGGGCTCTCTTTTTCTTTCTAAATATTCTGGGAAGAAATGAAATCATCAAGGTGAACGAGTGTCCATTGCCTCAGGTTGGAAACAGAATCTAGTACAAATGACGCACAGAATATGTCTAAAACCTAAATCCACACATTCAATTCAAGCCACAGAAGTTTCTGTAAGGTCTGCTGTATGCTGGGGCTGTGAATTAAAGATTCCCCGAAAGATTTCACATCAAAACTTACATTGTATATTCTATGAAGATTGAGCTCCAGAGCCCAATTATAGATTATCTTGGGCTATCTAAGCCTCATCAATAGCTATTCGTTGCTCATCTCTGTGTCTGACCAAACAATTTGTTGACTATCATAGGAAACCCTTTGGGATGTATTAACTTAACAGACCACCAACTTCTTCCCCCCACACACAAAGCTAAGAATGTTAACCTTTAGCAGAGTTACCTGCTTTGCAGTAAGCCTCCTACCTGACGTTCCACCAATGTATTTGAAAGTCTGATGACTCGTGACTTTCTTTGTCTGTTATAGTAAAATCTTCAGGAAACTGTTACCACATCAGAACATGGAATTTGAGGTAATAAGAACCTATGTCCCAGGGTCACGGATACTCTATTTGGCTCTAGAATAAATTATATCTCATTCCCTTTGAGGTGACAGGTGGGTGTTTTTGTTTTTGATGTCTAGAATGAAAGGTATCCAACTGATATGATCCTGAAAAACTCAGAATAAACAAATGGACCATCAACCAAACCAAAGGAGGCCGAAGGTCCAGAAATAACTCACCAACATCCACCTGAGGACAGTCTGGACAATTGGGCACAAGGGGTCCATGCTGGTACCCAGCTCTATTGAGGTGACTGATAAAAAGTGGATTGTCTTTTTGGATCCCACATTTGGGTGTCATAATTGTTGATATGAAAAACACAGCTCTCACCTCAAAGGGGATGAGAATCTGTTTATTCCGAAGCTCAATATAAGTAATCATGGCCCAGGAACATGAAATTTGAGGTAACCTAAATCATATATCTACAATCCCAGCAGCCCATTCTCTCCATTATAATCACTGTCATTTTTCTAAGAATCATTCTGATAATGCTCCAGTGATTCTGCTTTACTGTATAAAGCCCTACTCAGTAGCCTCATATTAACCCCTCCCCATCTAGACAACACTTCTGATGGTACATCTTAGCTGTTAACTTGACACAACTTTGAGCCTCCTAGAAAGAGAGTCTCAGTGAGGGACTGTCTAGATCAGATTGGCCTGTGGGCATGTCTCTGTGGGACTGTTTTATTCATTTATTTTTACTTTATTATTTTCATTTTATGTGTATGAGTGTATTGCCTACATGTATGTAAGTGTACCCGAGTTGTGAAGGGCCCACAGAAGTCAGAAGAGGGTATTAGAGCCCCTGGAACTGGAGTTATAGAAGGATGTTAGCCATGATATAAGTGCTGGGAACCTAATCCTGGTCCTCTGCAAGAGCAGTCAGTGCTCTTAACCGCTGAGCCATCTCTCCAGCCCCTCTGGGGGATTTTTCTAATTGCCTTAACTGATATGAGAAGACCCAGTCTAAAAGGGGGTGGCACCATTCCTGGGTTTGGGGCCCTGGGTTGTATAATGTAGATAAATCTAGTTGAGCTCAGGCAGGCATACACATTCATCTCTATTCTTGTCTGTGGATCTGACAGTGACCAGCTGTTTCAAGGTCCTGCCATTTTGACTTCTATGCAGCAATGGACTGTATCATGGAATTGGAATGAAAATAAACCTTCTCCCCTAAGCTTCCTTTTGTCAAGGTAATTTATCCATTTGTCAATTAACAGGAAGGAAACTGAGATACCGCCTCTGTGTTCAGCCTTCTTCCTTGCAGCATGGCCCTTCCTTTCCTACTGTGTCCCTATGGAGCTAATCACATCCTCCTTCATGTATCAGAGTTTCTCAGAGTCCATGCCTTTGTCTCTCTCTAGAAGTTGCACTTTCCACTTTTTTCTGACAGACATCCTATGCCTCTTAAAACTTAAGTCATTACTACCATCTTTAGGAAGTTTATGCCACCTGCTCTTCCAGTGAAACTGGCATCTTTCCTGTTCCCTCCACTGCACCCCACACAGATTTCCATCCTGGCATGTGCATCATCACTTCATTTCACTTTTGTTTGCTTTCATGGTGGATACCCTGCTCCAATTTCCCTTTGATTTTGGATTAGTAATAAGCTACTTATAAATAATTTTGACCTACTGAATGAATGGTTGATGGAATGGCCTTGAAATGTCTGTCCTTATGTAATGTCCTGTACTTACCTAACCAAGTTCTCCTTGTAAATAACACTGGTATGGGAGGGGTTCAGAGTAATGTGGCCATCTGGGTCACAGAGGAAGCTGTCCTCTGTCCAAATGTAGTAGCCATTGGTGAGGAGCCTGGGGCTTCTGCGGCAGATACAGTGGGAGCCTGTCAGTGGGTCTATGGAACAGCATTCAAAGGAACTGTCTCCATCCAGGAAACTGCAATCAAAGCTAAAGAGGAAAAATGAAAGTCTTTTGAGTCTCTACCAAGTACTTTCAAAATCATAAACCCCACATTTCCAGCTAATCACTGTGAAGGAAAGCCCATTTCTTCACATTCGCGACTGGTAGCTACTTCCACAGCTTTTAGGAATGTTCCTGTTAACCCTCTGGGTTTGGCCTTGAACCACAAGACATTTAGTGTTTCCTCCAACTTTGAACTTAAGTGACAACATTGTGGCTAATCAGTTTCTTCACCTTAGTATGAATCTACATTCTTGACATCAGTCCTTTTTATTATATAAATATTGTAAAACAGTCATTCTGGGATGTTGGAAACACATAGAAAGCCACCTTTCTTTTCTCTTCTGCATCCCATTTGAGAGCTATTCATCTACTTGAAGGCAGGTTCCATGTCCTGCATAGCTTCTTTTTTCCACACTAACGGTCTTTTGATTCATTTAACTGAACTTTGAATGGCACAGGTGATTTTGGACCACTGACTTTTTATTGTGACTGCTTTGTCTGTTTTCTAATTAAAGCATCCTTTCCTTTATCATGACAAGCAAGGAACCCCACAACTTTTAGATGTATCGTCCAGAGGAAACCAGAACTGTCACCACCCTCATTATACAATCCCTATCTTAAATTACAAAACTCAAGTCATGTTAACTTGGGCCTTTTCATTCATCTTCCCCAGTCACCAACATATTGTCTCAGTATTGAACCAATTGTCAATTTCTAGTATTTCCCCTAGTATTTATTTATTTTATTTTATTTATTATTTTTATTTTTTATGTATATGTGTGTATTGCCTGCATGTAGGTAAGTGCACCCGTGTCATGTAATGCCCATGGAGGTCAGAAGAGGCTGTCAGATCCCCTGGAACTGGAGTTACAGACAGTTGTTAGCTGTCATGTGGGTGCTGGGATTCGAACCTGGGCCTTCTGCAAGAACAACCAGTGTTCTTAACTGCTGAACTTCATCCCCTAATATTTAATTATCTTTGTCCCTTCTAGGCTTTTGTGTCAACTTTATCTTAGACTATCAGAATATAGTAAAATCTAAGAAGGGATTTTACAGCCATCTAAAGTTAGGTTAATACACAGAGTTTGGATCATGATTTTGCCTATTGCTGACTGTTTATTTTCCCTAATCTTGTAATCAAATTCTGAACATTGAAGTTTATCTAAAACCAGCCTCCAGAGCGTTTCTATAAAAATAAACATCATAATTTCATGGGAAGTTCCTAGCACCTATAACCTCCATGTCTTAAGTGCTCTGAGCTGTTCATTGCCTACTCTTTGTATATGCTTATATTTTCTGCTCTTGAATTTGGAGGAGAGTCTGCCTATACCGCTTGAATTCAGAGGAGAGTCTGCCTATATCACTTGAATTTGGAGGAGAGTCTACCTATATCACTTGAACACTTTTAATGTCTTTACCTGATTTCATTAAAAATATTACTACTTGTAAATGTGTATACACACGAATAAGTGTAAACTTAGGTAAATGCTAATAAATGGGAAAGGAGACCAAGAGAATCTAAAAAGATGTGATGAGTAAGGTTGGGGTGATGGGTAATAGGACACTTGGGACATGACAAAAGAAAGGTGACCTGGGAGAGGCTAGAAGGGAGGTTTGGGGGTAAGGAGGTGGGGAGATGAAAGGGAAAAAGAATCACTAAAACACAGCGTTTGTTCAAAAATGCCATAATGATATTTAATGCCTTGTATGCTAACTGAAAAAATAAAAATTATTTATAAAATGTTATTACTGATATTGTTAGGTCCTTACTTTAATTTTTAGATGAAGATTTTGAGTGGTTCAGCTAGAACATAAGACTTTGGAAATGCCAGGAATGGGCTCTCTCCAAAGAGGCCTGTACCACTTCAACATCATTTTGCTCATAATTTCTTCTCTTTATAGATAAAAAAGAGGGCTGGAGAGATGTCACAGCATTTAAAAGCAGTTTCTGCTCTTTCATAGGACCCGAGTTCATTTCCCAGTACCCAGATGGTGGTTAACAACCATTCCTAACTCCAGTTCCACCCTTTCCTATCTTCCATGGGCATTGCACAACATGGGTGCACTTACATACATGCAGGCAATACATTCATACACTAAAATTAAAGAATAGATAGTTGATATATAGATAGATAGATAGATGATAGATAGATAGATAGATAGAGGATAGATACATGATAGATAGATGATAGAAAATAGATAGACAGACAGATGATAGACAGATAGATGATAGATAGATAGATAGATAGATAGATAGATAGATAGATAGATGATAGATAGATAGATGATAGATAGATGT